AACTACCAGGATTTTCGTCCACGGTTTTTGCAGTTAATTTAAACCACTTTAAGCCGGTTTAAGTTTAAGATTCTACTCAAGATAGCAATAAAAGTCAAAGAAACTTAATAGGAGTAGCTGTTAGGGAAAAAACAAACAAATAAACAAACAAACATCGAGCGAGAGAGAAGGAAGCCCCGCCCTCCCCCTTTTTGGCTTGAAATGTTCAATTTTCTGAATATACAGAAATGGAGTGACTGTCAAAAGCGTCTTGCGACGATTGGTAAACATGGACTGTTTGCACGAGTGAGAAAATTTGACGTTACCAGTATCACAGAAGAAAAAGCGTCCCAAGTCCTCAATCTGATTGGTCGATGCCAAAGAGAAAAAGCAGCTTTTGTCAGCCCTGGAGTTGAAACCTTCTATTGTTGGGTAAGTGAAGCAATACTATAAATGGGCATTATAATTCATTCAAAATATTTCCCCACTTCTGATTGGCTAAAAGCACACGCATAATTCACCATAACCAGTTACTTCCTGAACAAATTTGGAAGAATTTTGTGTTTAACGAGGAAATGACGTCAAAAATGCAGCCTTCTACATCGATACAGGTAAGCTTTAACATCGATACAGGTAAGCTTGTTTTAGCTATGTTTTTAAACTAGGAATTATTTTGAATGAATAATAAATCAATTATTGAATTCGGCTTTCGTATCATATGAAGAATTATGGAGATCTCGGAGGGTGTTATCCGCCTCGGCCTACGGCCTCGACAGATAACACCCTCCTCGATCTCCATAATTCTTCATAAGATACTCAGCCTCATTCATTAACTGTTAAATATATATATATCACAGCTTGTAAGGTATCCTACAATTCGGTCTTCCGACTGCAAAAGGGACAATAAACCAGTGAGTGTAAGTCTGATGAGTCAAAATCAGTCACTGTCTGTGTTTTGAGGCCTTCTGTTAGGTTGCACTCATAATTAATGTTTCCTTTTTAATGCTAATTAATTTTACCATTACAGCCAGTTTTTACTGCAGGGTGTTAAAGTACAAAAAAATGGTGTTATGAAGACATCCTCATCTTGGAGTCACGAATGTGTTGTATGCACCCTTTCCACAGTGCCGTGAGAACCCTCTTACTGTAGTAGACCAACGCCTGCGAAAGTATGAGTTTCTGGTGCCTTGAAAAGTAGCCTATCACAGGCTTTCAGGTCGATACTGTAGCTGGGAGCGGCGCCAAATGAAAAGTGGAGCGTAAATAGGAAACGGAGAAACGCTCCCTTTTTCTATACTCCTCCCATTTCTTTCCTGCACCGTTCTCTTGGCCGTACCCATTATTTGAACGCTTAGAATTGAAAAGACAACTGGAAAAGAGACGAGTCACATTAACTTATCTGAATCAGTATAGGTTAAGTTACTCGCAGAGTAACTTAAAACTTAATCGATGAACTCGGTAACCTTGATACGTTACTGCTTATTCGTATTCAGTAGTGAACTACGGAAAACCTTTTAGATGAGAAGATTAATTCTGCAAGAGTAATACGCAAGTTAATTTACAGAAAAAAAAGAAAGTTGTATGCTTCCCCGTGCCCCGTATAAAAGCGGTCATTTACTCGCATGTACTCGCGTATTACACTTATCAGA